AAGAACCCTATTGAATCTGGAGATAATCGGTCAAAATTTAGATATAGCTACCATATATATCTTTGTCCGATTTGCTTTTTACTGTGCACCAAACGTGTAATATCAGCCCGAATAGTATGGAATTTTGCACTTACGACCGAATTGAGTCTAGAAGCTAGTATGCCAAATTTGTTGAAGATCGGTTCAGATATAGCTACAGCTTCCATATATACTGTTCATCCGATTTGTTACATTTGTTGCCCACAGCCGTAATATGCACTCGGTAACAATGATATTCAGGGAAATATATGAAATACAGCTCAGAAATATATTTGCCAAATTTTATCGAGATCGGTTCAGATTTGGATGTAGCTCCCATATATATCTTTATCCCATTTTAAATTAATTGTACACCAAATGGGCAATACAAGTCCGAATTTAAAAGATACAAATGTTTCGGCTTATTTAGTCCATTGAACTTTAAATTATAATTATAATCATAGCGTGTATCATTGAATTCTCCCATAAAAACTTTTAATTGTTATGCGGAGCTCTACTAAATTAGCAAGGTGGTGTAGAGTATCATAAAGTCGGCCCCGCCCGTCTTTAAGAATTTCTTAAGTTTAGTTATGTAATTGTGTGATCGATCGTTGTCATATATTTGCAAATACGCTATGATTCACAATAGCGTTTAGAGTAAGAATCATTCAATAATTCCAATAAGAAGTAAAGTTGTCTGTAAATTTCATCAACACAAGATCTATTATAAAGATGATAAAGATTCGACCATTCCTTCTGGTGCCTCCTCCACAAAGGTTCAAAGTTTGGATAGCCAAAACGACCATAAAATCCGAAATAAATATCCTGTTGTCTCCTCACAATATTTTTATTAACCGAAGGTCTGGTGTGATAATTGTATGTATCGGGCCATTCCTTCTGGTACCTCCCCCACAAAGGGTCGACATTTTGAATATCCAGGAAGCTCATAAAATGCAAATTAACAACCGATTACATCCAGACTTGGTACATCTCAATATTTCTATCAGCACAAGATCTGATATAAAGATGGTAAAGATCAGTCCATTTCTTCTGGTACCTCCCTCAAATTGGGCTCAAAATTTTGAAAAACACAACGCTCAAAGCAAGCGAAATAAGCATCCAAATCTCTTCAAATTTCACACATCCAAATATTTTTGCTAACGTTGATCTGATTGATTTCGTATAAAAGTGGATATAAATGTTCAATTTCCTTCACATTTTGCACATACAAATATTTTTATCTGTATTAGATGAAGTTTGACAAGTAAAAAACATTAAGTTCGGCCGGGGCGAATGGAATATCTGGAGGTACCCTTATATGGGAGCTATACCAAAACGTGGACCTATACATACAATGTTTCGCAACCGGAGCTAGAACCTGTTATGACCAACAATTAAACATTTTTAGACAAATTCGTGAAAAATGCGATAAAAAACCATCAACATACCGAATATCGGGAGGTACCGTTATATGGGGGCTATACCAAAGCATGGACCTATACATACAATATTTCGCCACATGAATAAGGATCCATTATGATTTACAAATACCAATTTTCAGACAAATCCTGGAAAAAAGTGGCAAAAATCGTCAAAATACCGAATATCGGGAGGTACCGTTATATGGGGCCTATACCAAAACGTGGACCTATATATCTCATTTCCAATACCAACCATCCTAGACACTATACAAATTGTTCTGCTAAATTTTGACGCTCCACGCCAAATAATGTGGCCTGTATCATGATTTCAACACACAGACTTCTTTAAATCGAATTAGAATTGCATGCTGATTATGAATATATATACTTTATTGGTTCTACGACGAATATTTAAGGATGTTACAAACGGAATGACAAAGTTAATATACCCTTCTTTTCAAGGTGGAGGGTATAAAAATGGAATACTTCGGTCCGCTATATTTGGTACCTCACGTTTCTTTCCAGTTATTTTTTTTCTGCACGCTAGACCACTTCCTTTATCCATTCCTTAATTATTTTTAGCTCAGACGTTGATCAATGATAGAGACGGTAGCTTACATTGTTTTTAACAACTAAGAAACCTAGAAGTTTTTTCCCATCTCTATAGGACTTTGCACTATATTACATTTCGCCTTTTGGTGTATTTCATTTCAATTTCATCAATAATAATATAACGAATAATGCCAGCATAATATTACGAAATTGTTAAATTATCTATTATACAGCTTTCAATCACTCATCGACTGACAATCTTTTTTTATAGCATATAGAGCCATCTGGCAATTATACCTTTGTCTCCTAAAATTAGTTTCTTGACATGTCTTCGAGTATGTTCATATCGCCGTTGAAAGATATTCCAAAATAAATTGTTGAACATTTAATTTTCAACTAACGATATTGGAATTGCTTTCATGGGCTTGCGGGTATTGATTGGAACAATCATCAGTCATTGGCCTTGTCATGTAGCGTTTGTGTCCCAAGTCCCATGTCTTTTGTCTGTTGACGCTCATTGTTCTCTTTACACGGTATTATTAGCAACCGAAAAAGTGAAATTGTTGTTAAATGCCGCTCTGATGATTGTTCGCAATTCATTCATCTTTCTAAAGCAATTATGTCGAAGAGAAATTGTGTGTGCGAGTTTTTTTGGGGTTTTCGGGGACTGTGTTGTGTGTTTAACCTTCTTTAGCAGATTCTCACCAAAATAAATATTTACGAAGAAAACGAAGGTGTAGCTTAAGGCTATGCTGTTTTAGAGAAAACAATATTTGCGGAAAATGTTTTTTAATTTGTTAACGGTTCTGCCTAATACATTGCCTATACAATAGGAGCCTATCTGCATGCTAAGCTACCACAAAAATGCAGAAAATATTTTTAATTATTTTAATGTGTCAATTTTTATCCTGACAGCATTAGTAAGTGTTATTTTTATACCCTCAGCCATATGGCTAGAGAGGATATATATAATTTGATAGTGCCAAAACTTGGCTCATCCAAAAAACGGTTTTAGACCCTAGGTCTCTTTGGACCAAATCCGTTTCAGATCATTTGGAGTCGATCTAGCGATGTACGTCCGTCTGGCTGGTGCGCACGATAACCCTCGAAGGGAGTATCCAATTTGATCCAAACGGTACATCGTAATATTATTATCAAACTTAGAGTTCGGAGGAGATGGGAAATATCGGTCCACTCCTTCTGGTACCACCCAAACAAAATGTCAACATTTTCAAAAAAAAAATTGCTGCACAGAAAGAGAAAGGATAACCCGACTTTACTCCAACTTTGCAAATCCTAATATTTTCATCAGTGCTAAGTCAGGTGCGAAAATGGACAATATCGGTATACCCCATATACCCACAAAGGGTCAAAATTGTCAATAATTATAAATCTGATAAAATGTGATTTAAGATTCCGATTGCCTTCAAATTACACACATCACAATATTTTTATTAACCCATGGTCTGGTGGGAAGTTGGAAAATATCGGTCCACTCCTTTCGGTACCTCCCCCACAAAGGGTCAAAATTTTGACCCTCACAAACACATCTCATATCTCAATATTTCTACCAGCACTAAATCCTTTATAAAGATGGTACACGCAGAAAAATATATGTTAGAAATATGTTTGGATCCAAACATATATTTGTTTGGGACTGGTTGCAAACATATATTTGTTTGCTGCAAAATATGTTTGGGACATATGTTAGAGAGGCTTATATTTTTTTGCGTGTAGAGATCGGACCATTCCTTCACCACAAATGGTCAAAGTTTTGAATAACCAAAACGATCATAAAAAAAATCAAAAAAAAAGTATCCGGTTTTCTTCATTATTTCTACCAATACAAGATATGCTGTGAATATGGAATATGTCGCTCCACTCCTTCTTGTACCACCCTCACAAAGGATCAACATTTTGAATATGCATGAAGATCATAAAACACGAAATTAACATCCAATTTCATTCTTTTTGGTACATCTCAATACTCACATCAAAACAAGATCGGTTATAAAGATGGTAAAAATCGGACCATTTCTTCTGGTACCTCTCCCTCAAAATGTCCAAGCTTTGAATAACCAAAACGATTATATTCGCTATTTTGATGATTTTAGCTACATTATTCACAGGAATTGTTTTAAATTTGGTATTTGAAGTTCGTAATGGATACCACAGCATATGACGGAAAATTGTCTGTGCCGGTCCACGTTTTGTTATAGGCCCCATATAACGGAACCTCCCAGTACCAGTATTTTGATGATTTTAACGACATTATTTACCGGAATTGTTTCAAATTTCGTACTTGAAGTTCGTAATGGATACTACAGCCTAGAACAGAAAATTGTATCTGCAGGTCCACGTCTTCGTATATCGGTACCACCCGATATTCACTATTTTAATGATTTTAGCGACTTTATTCACCAGAATTGTTTTAAATTTGGTGTTTGAAGTTCGTAATGGATACTACAGCCTATGAACGAAAATTGTCTGTGCCGGCCCACGTTTTGATACCTCCCTATTTTCGGCATTTTGTTGATTTAAGCGACATTTTTCACCAGAATTGTTTCAAATTTGGTATTTGAAGTTTGTAATTGATACTACAGCCTAAGACAGAAAATTGTCTATGCAGGTCCATGGTACCTCCCTACATTCGGTATTTTAATGATTTTAGCGACATTATTCAAAGGAATTGTTTCAAATTTGGTATATGAAGTTCGTAATGAATACTACAGCCTAAGACAGAAAATTGTCTGTGCAGGTCCTAGTTTTGGTATAGTACCTCCCTATATTCGGTATTTTGATGATTTTGATGATGCAGGTCCACGTCGTCGTATAGACCCTAAAATAATGGCTACATTCGGTATTTAAAAAAAATTAAAATAGCAAAATTCGTTCCAAGTGGTAAAGGGTATTCAAAGTTCGGCACGGCTGAACTTATAGCTATTTTACTTGTTTTGCTTTAGTTTTCGCTAATATATTTATTTAAAATAAAAATAGAAACAAATGTAATTTTCTTTACTTATGCTTTATTATATTTCTACTAATTAAAATGAAATAAATTACAATAGATTACTATTAAAAACTATTTATAAATAAATTTAAATGTATTTACATTAATAGTTTTGTTCATAACTTAACTAAGCTAAAGGGTCAGACTTCACTATAAAGTTTGCCCTGTTTTAATTCGTTAAAAATCCTAAGTTCTTTGCTTGAAAATAATATTCCGAGTGACTACAATTTATTTCACAATCGCCTAACATTTTGCATCCAAATGTTAGCAACATTTGGCAAAGTTTTTTTTTTCTAAAACATTCGATGATTCGAGGGCACATCGGTGTGCACGGTAACTGGGACAGATTGTGTGGCGTCCACTGTTAGATCGTTTTGTTGATTTAACAACGGCTCATAGGCGCTGTAGGGATCGCTGCGCTGCCAGGCGGTTGCTTGTGATGGATTTGCTACATAAGCGGTATAGCTATCAGTTTTAGGTTGTGATGCCGCACCACCGTGGATGTGCAAATGGATTTCCTTGCTGGGATGGGAGGAATGATGTTCAGGTTCGTGTTGTACAGGTGCAGCAGACCAGCCGGCCGATGATGGTGGCGACCAATTCCAACTGGACGGGGCTGAATATTCAACATGATGATGAGGATTCCAACTTGGTGGGGCCGAGTACTGGATTTGAGGAAGCAAGCCCGTTTTGAGTGTAAAGAATTTAGCCAAGAGCGCCAGGGCATTCATGGCGAGTAAGACTTTGACAAGGAATAGCGTTTTCAAACCAATACCCACTAGGAAAGCAACCATGGCAGTAAGAACACCAAATTTAAAGATTATGGGAATCAAAGCCATTTGCAGACGACGAATTTTGCCAAATGTACGTGCTTCTACACTGCCGTCGGAACGTCCCTCTGAAATGATAAAAAATAAAAAAAAATGTATGTAAATATGTGTTTAGAATAGGCAGGATCATAATCATAATGGAGGGCAATACATCATTGTTTGATTGTAATATGACAACAATTAACTCGACGATTCATAACAATTTGTACAAATTTTTAATGGTATTTGTTCCATAACCCCAAAGTTCAGTAAGGTACCGTGTTCCATGGGAAAATATTTTTTTGATTTACAAGAACTAAATACTTTAATACTCTCAGTCATATGCCGACAGATATGTCCAGTTTTCTGTGCTTCATCGAAATAGTGGTTTTAGACCCTAGGTCTCTTTGAAACAAATCCGTTCTGGTACCTCCCTGACTGAAACTTCTTAATTAATTATTACCAAAAAAAAAAAGAAAACAAGTTAAAAAGCCGTAAGTTCCTCTCCAACATTTGCAACGAATTTGGAAATTTTTAAAAAATGAAACCCGTTAAAAATTCTTTTAAAATCTTAAAAATACCGAATATAACCATTATATTGGGGCCTACACGATGTGGACCCACACAGACATTGTTTGTCATAAGCCATAACCATACTCAAATTCGAAACTTGAAATAAACGGTGAATAATGAAAGCTGAAATCATTAAAATGCCGTATATAGGAAGGTACCGTAATATCGAAGCTATACGAAGACCTGGACCTGCACAAACAATTTTCTGTCATAGGCTATATATGCGAACTTCAAATATCAAATTTGATACAATTCCAGTGATTAATATCGCTAAAATCAAAATACCGAATATCAGGAGGTACCGTTATATGGGGGCTACAAATGTGAAAAATGTGCACCTTCGGTTGGCTACCAGAACTCAAGCGCGACCGTGGCATCAGAATAAATGCCGAATATTATCGCGAAAATATTATGGAGGGGGTAATAAAGCCTTGGGCACGCAAACATCTTGGCCGCAGACCTTGGACATTCCAACATGACTCAGCACCATCGCCACCCAAGAATAGTTGCAAAATGAAATTCCTCGCGTCATTTCCAGCGCACAATGGCCATCAAAATTTTCGGATACCAATCCGTTGGACTATTGTGTTTGGTTGGCACTAAAAAATACCAAAGTGTCGATCACCTCAAGCAATCGCTTCGCCGGGAATGGGCCAAAATACCGCAGAGCAACATTTGGGCAGCGTGTGGCGGTTTCATTGGCCGTTTGAAGGCCATAATTCGTGCCAAAGGTGACCAATTCGAATAAATCTAAAATTATTCTAAAATTTGATGCTATTTCCGACATTTTTTGCTTTCATTCAATAAAATTTAAAAAAAAATACTTTTATATTGGGGATATACGAGAACGTGGACCTGCATACTCAATTTTCTGTAATTGACTGTGGTACCTATACGAAACTTAAAACAATTCTGGTGAATAAAGTCAGTAAAATCATCAAAATACCTAAAATAGAGAGGTACCATTATATGAGGGCTTTACGAAGAAGTGGACGTGCACACGCAATTTTCTGTCAAAGGTTGTAGATCCTATTAGAAATTTACAATACAAAATTTTTAACGATTCCGGTGAATAAAATCTCTAAAATTATCAAAATACCGAATATAGGGAGGGGGCTATATGAAGAAGTGGGCTTGCAAGCGCAAATTTTTGTTACAGGTTAAAGTACATATTGCGAAGTTTAACTATGAAATTTGAAACAATTCCGGAAAAAATGTAGCTAAAATCATCAAAATACCGAAAAGACGTGGTCATATATAGCTAATCAGAAGTCCAGCAGACCAAGCACACGTCTGAGAAAAAAATTATCAACCTACTTCAATTCGTTCTGAAGCTTGAGTGATTTCCACAGACGAACGGACTTCTTTAAATCGACTAGAATTTTATGCTGATCAAGAATATATATATATATATATATATATATATTCTAGTGTCTAAAATGTATATTTCGATATTTCGTTACAATGACAAACTTAATATACCCTCCATACTGTGGTGGAGGGTATAAACAAATGCTAAATTTATATTACATAAACCTTACGTCAAAGTTCATTCACATCGACTTGAGATCATTTAACTCCTACGATTACGTTTTTCAAACTAAGTAAGTTCAAAATTAAATATTTTAAAACTCAACACGAACCAATTTTCGTTCGCCCAGCATGAAACAGATCTTTCATCAAAGCAGATGTTTTGTGCCATTATCCATTAACCACATTACACATGGCCGATGATTCATCACTATTGGCTGGAATCCATTATGAGCACAGCGAAAAAATGAAATGCCAACCGTCTCCAAGAGATGGAAGTAAGTCAAGCGTTAGTTTACTCTGCAAATATGCCTCATCGTTTCGGTTTTACCGTAAATTGAATCGTGCAAATAATGTCTGGACAATGAAAGTGAAATTGAAGCCATTGAAACGACGATGTTGCCAGCTTTTGGAAGTGTTAACTGAACTTGAATTCTTTTATTTGTTTTCTTAACCGTAATAAGTGTTATGGAATGAAAGTTAACAATTTTGGCAATGTATGCACATATTATTAAACCATCATTGCCAAATTTGAATGAACACTGCCTATTTTGGACATTTTCCAAGAAATTTTTAAAAGTATATCTACTTTTGGATTTTTTCATTATGTGATTTTTTCTGATTTTGTTGTAGTTGTAATAGTGAAAGTGTTAACGCTTTCATTCAAAAATAGATTTTACAAAACACAGAAGCTTGAACTTTGGTAGAGGTTGTATTTTATAAGAAATTATAATATGTTGTAACCAAGTGTTCAATTGTTATGAAATTAAAGGGTAAACAATCGGGGATTACTTCTATATATATATATATATGTATTATTTAGATATTGATTACTATTTAAATTTAGTTTCTTTTTGTAGTGAATTGATATTTTTCATTGTCTCATCCAACCTTATCTGGATAAGTATATAAGAATATAGGATTTGCGGGACAACTTTGAAATATTCTGAAAATTAAGAATATTCAAAATTTCAACCCTTTTTACAATACGCACCAAACATTAGCCTGTTACAAATATTATGATGTGCGAAGTTTCTTTTCGAACCCACATTTTTTATACTTTTTTCCCTTCAAAACTATCCCCCATCGAGAATGAAATAGGTCCAATCCTAAAACATGTGAGTAAATTCGGAAAAAAAACTATGCCATTTCAAATTAAAAAAAAGTTAAAAAGTATCAGCCGGTTCTACCCGAGAGATGTATACCATCAGCCAATGTTCGGATATTTAATTATATTTTGACTTCTGTTATGATTATTCAAATTGTTGACCCGCTATGGAGTAGGTTCCGAAGAAATGAGCCAATACTGTCCATTTCATATGATATAAATATAGCTACGTGCTAGTTTTGGACTATATGGGTTACTTCCTTCACTTTATATGAGATGTGTGTTTTTAGAAAATATTAAAATGTGAGTGGGGTACCAAAAATAGTCGACCAAAGTATTCCATTTTCATACTTCATCAAATACAGATAAAAATATTGGTATGGGCAAAATTACAAGAAAATCGAACATTCATATCCAATTTTATACGAAATCATAAATTCCATATTCATATCAGGTTTCCGGTTGAGAGAAATATTTAGATATAGCAAGTTGTAAAAAATCGCTGACTTGTTTCGCAAGTTATTGAAAATTGTGACCCTTTGTGGATGAGGTTCCAAAAGGCTGATATATATAATCTCCGCAACAGATCATGTATTAGCAAAAATTTTAGTATGTTTGAAATTTGAAAAGAGTTAGCTACATTATTCACTGGATTTTTTTCAAATATTGTATTGGCTTATGACAAAAGTTGCCTATGCAGCTAAACATCTTCGCATGCATCCCAATATAACGGCTATATTCGGTATTTTTAAGATTTTAACAGATTTTATTTTCAAATTCGTTCCAAATGGTGGAGGGTATTCAAAGTTCGGACCGGCCGAACTCACTGCTTTTTTAATTGTTACAGTTTTTATGCCTAAAACTAAATAATTCGTCGAGAAAGAATTCTTGCAGGAAAGTTAAACAGAAAAACTAAATATTTTCTTTACTGTAGCAAACAATCGCACTGTCCCAGTACCTGCAATATATATACCCTACAACACTATGTGTTGGGCTAGAGCCAGAACAGAAGCCTATTTCTTTCGATGATCGCATAATATTTAGGGGTTGAAATGGACCAACATCTGAAAAAATCCTGATTTTGCAATTGCTCTACAGGTCGCAACTAGAGACCAATCGACGCGGAAGTTAGCATGGAGCTAGAGCTTTGGGCTGGGCAGAAGCCTTCCAATTTTGATGGTCATCGGGTAGTATTTGGTGAAATAGACCATAACATTTGTGTTAAATAAAAGTCAAATTTTCCATTAAAACGCGAATGTTTTTAATCCCCGCGAAATCACAAATAGACGAACAGATCAACTCTGACCGTTACGTAGATGCCGATAGTAAATATATCTGATATATATAGCGAAATATATACAATGTGGACCTTTACTTTTTTAAAAAATAGCAACATTACTTACAGGCGATATCCGAAACACACAAAAGGCGAACTTCTGGCTTTTTTATGCTGATTTCGTTGAGGAATATAGCCAAATATTATAGACAAGCAAATCATATAGATGAGTCCAAATTAGGAGATACAGAGCGGACACTTGCTTTTGGAGATGATCGCAAAATATTTAGCGGTTCAAATCAACCAAAAACAGAAAAAATTCCCTTAATACACAATTGAAGCCCATCGACACGCCTGAGAAGAGAGTTAAGGACAGGGAAGGATTCTGACATTTTGGATGACCATTGGATTATATATTTAGCTGTAAAATGGACCACAGCGACTAACAACACGACGGAGTGCGCAAATATTGGCCAAATGTCCCTGATCAAAAAGCTAAGGGTAATATCTTAGCAGTGAAACGTGACATAATTTCAAAAGCGAAATCTTCCAAAATGGATTTGGACATAAGGGGGCTTCTAACATATTGTAGTGTTGTCGGGTATCACCTGGTCGGCCCCGCACGACTATAGGCTTTGCTTACTTGTTTTCCTTTATGATAGTACTAATTGATGCTGACTTACAGGTTGTAGAACACACAGAACTTAAGGTGATTTGAGGTATGGACAAAAAATACAAAAACTCAACTCTCCAATACAATATAGGAACTTATAACTAAACCTATTGATGCGTTCAATTTTCCATTAGATTTCAAATTTCCCTAGTGAAAAATATCAAATTTTACAACTTAATACTACAACAGTTTTAAACTTCACAACATGGACTACACATTGAAAAATCAGAAAATAATTTATTTTACCTGCAACAGCGGATGTTGCACTGTCATCATCCGCACTAAATAGTCCCGCTGAAATGTCGTCTTTAATCCAATTCCAAACACCTCTTACAATACCCCATACTCTTGATGTCGACACATCGGGCTCTTGTACAGCAGTTTTTTCTATTGCATCAAACCACATTCATGCAATGAAATAAAAAAATACAACAAAAAAAGATATCATAAAATTAATACATTTCGTACATTTTAAACCATTAAAACATTTTCTCTCCTATTGTTCTCAAATAATCATCTTTAATTTGTAAGATGTTGTAAATTCGCTATGCCCTAAGAGACCGTATATATGAGATCGTAATGTAACGTAAATGTAAAGTAAATGTAATTGTAATGAAATAATCGATACGGCGACAAAACTATTATTGAATATTAATATGCCACAATGACGATCTCGGCCGTGACTAATACCAACAATTTAACAACCGACTAATACTTTCCCTTTTCTACCCAAGTTCAAATGTTTTGAAATCATCGACAAATAAAAGAAATTAAATTTACCTGCTGCAACATCATCATCGGCTCCAAAAAGTCCCCCAGAAATGTCATCTTTAATCCAATTTAAAACACCTCGAACAATACCCCAGACACTGAACAGAGATTCATCGGACGATTGTACGGCATTTTTTTCGGCAGCATCATCATCATCATCGTCTGTATCTTCGTTAGAGTCTCGGTCATCGTTGTCGGCATCTGCTTTAGTGGCAACAACTTCCGACTTGGGTGTCGCCGTCGTCGTCGTTGTTGTTGCTACATCGCCACTAGTTTCGGTAACGGCTTTTGTTTTACCTTTTGTTGTTATTTTACCACAATTTACCGCTGTTGTTAGACAACAAATGACCAAGGTTAACACAAATAGTTGATGAATTCGGGATTTCGTTATCATCATCATCTGCTGAAACAAAAGAAAAGAGAGAGAAACAACAATGTAAATAAAGCAAAAATTATGATGCGACCATTGGCCATGTAATAGTAATGTGATGTGATGTGATGCGATGCGATGCGATGACATGCCACAATTGACATTAACATATTTATTTAATATGTAAATAAATACCATCCAATAAAAATAGAAAAATTATTGTGATAGGAAAAATTATTCATAAAATCTATTTAACCGAATTCAAATTTAAAATACAATTGAAAATTACTACCACTCCTGGGAATTAAAATCAAAAACATGCTCTTATATAAAAATGTTGAAATGTTCCCGCGCCTTTTTTGATAATTGTTAAAGCTATAAAAAGAGAGACCTGTCAAAATCTCTCTGGCAGAACCACAATTACTCAAAAAGCGTAAAATTCTGCCCTGTCTGTCCGTCTGTTGTAATCACGCTAGAGTCAAACGAATAAAGACCCGAAGCTAAATTTTGCACATATCAGTCTTTTGTCTGCAGTATGTTCTGTACCCCCCGATATTCGGTATTTTGATGATTTTAGCCACATTTTTCAATGGAATTGCTGAAATTTTACATTAGGAGTTCTTTGAGTGTACTTTACCCCCTGAAAGAGGATTGTCTATAAAGGTGCACGATATCGTATATCCCCCATGTAACGGCAGCTTCCGATATTCGATATTTTTATGATTTTAGCCACATTTGTCTGAAAATCCAAACGAGGAGCTCTGGAACTTTATGTTCTGGAAGAGAATTATCTATGTAGGTCCACGATATCGTATAGCCCCCATATAAAGGTATCCCCGATATTCGGTATTTTGGTGATTTTATCCACACCAAAATTTCTATGGAATTGTCTTAAAATCCACACAAGGGGATCCTTCTGAGTACTTTACCCCTTAGAGGAAAATTATCAAAATAGGTCCACGTTTTAATACAGTGCCCATATAACGGTTTTTTATAATTTGTGCGACATTATTATTGTTATTGTTACCAATTGAGCCCCGCCAAAATGATTTCGAAAAGTGAAAGTGTACGTCCCTAAACCACACTCACCCCAGCTTCAGAACAGAATAACGTAGGTGGAATAAATACTGAAATTACTTTAGGTCCATAATATGTGTGGTATTGAAAATTAGACGATTTGTTACATCCCCCAAATATCGGTGTCGCCCAATTAAAGGGGGGGTTTAGTCAAATTTTTCAATCAAATTTTTTGCAAATCGGCGGATTGTGTTCTCAGCGGATAGAAAACAAAATGAACGGGTTTTTTCTTGCCAAAGAGGGCAGCTGAAAATGTGCACCTTCGGTTGGCCACCAGAACTCAAGCGCCGGCTATGGTGATGATGTGGACCGCCATAACAGCCAATGGCCGCTCTCAGCTCGTCTAAATCGACGTGGCATCAGAATAAATGCCGAAAATTATCGCGAAAATATTCTAGAGGGTGTATTAAAGCCTTGGGCAAGCAAACATTTTGCTCGCAGATCTTGGACATTTCAATAGGACTCAGCACCATTGCACTCAGCAGCACAACTCAAGACTGGTTACAAAATGACGTTCCTCGCTTCATTTCCAGCGCACAATGGCCACAAAGATCTCAGGATACCAATCCGTTGGACTATTGTGTCTAGAATGTTTTGGAAAGCAAGATTGGCACTAAAAAATACCAAATATACCGGGAATGGGCGAAAAAACCGCAGAGCAACATTCGGGCAGCGTGTGACGGTTTTATTGGCCGTTTGAAGGCCAGGGAGGAAGGACATTTTTCGATTTCATTCAATAATATTTAAAAAACATGTACAAATTATGGCTTTTGACTTTGTTGCAGTTTTTTTATCTCACCCTGTAGATCCACGTTTTTTTATAACCCACATATAACATTACCTAAAAAATTCGGTGTTTGGATGATTCTTTTGAACATAATTGTTGGATCATCATTTTAATATACGGACTCGATATTTGGAATTTGAATAATCTAAGCCACATTTCTTGACAAAAAATTGAAACAAATTGTAAGTCTATGAAAATATAAAAAAATAGCTATTTGGAATTGCAGAATCATTTTTCTTTCGTAGCCGATATTTTTCATAAACTTGTATTCTATCTCATTTATTCCTGTAACATATATCTGTACAATTACATTTTACGACATCCTAGGCATGCTTGCGAAAAATTATGAGAGTACAATGGGCAATTAAACAAAGTAAGCCATATTAAGTAATCGACCTGGCCCCTTGTAGCCCAGAGTGAACTATTTTCATTTACATTTCCAATTAAAAAAAGCACAATGAAAAATACTGTGAAAAAAGAAAACGTAACATTGTTCATTTTACTTTCGGAAATTAAGTCAACTGGGTTAAAATGAAAAAGAAAATAAACCACTTTTATGCAACAATGGAAGATAGTGCGAAAATCTGCCACATCGTAATTTAATTTGTAAATATTTCATTCCGACATTATGCGCTATAATTTGTTACTCTGTATCTTGAACAGTGTCAGTGGGATTTCTTGACGATTCCACGTTTTTGTTTGGATATTGTTTTTATTTGTTCACACCCAAACCCACAAAATATTGTGTAATAATATTCAGATCTGATTTACCCGGCACATCGCTCAGTGACATAAGACTGCGTGTTGATACAAAACAAAAAAAGTGATAAACTAAAATTTCACTTTTCTTCGAAGATCGCTCAACTCATCTTTAAGTTAACTTCGAAACGATTTAAACGAGTTTAGATGCTCATCAAGTTTCAAAAGAAAACTGTTTATATTACCATATTTGCTTGCTCTTCTCATCAATAAAATGTCATTAAAAATCAATCAAAATGTATATTTTTATGATTAGCTGGAATTTCTGAAAAATATACATACATATATATAAAGCAGTTGTGAAATTGTATTGCTACAATTTCCCTTTTATGCCAAATGGCGCTGTGGGAGATATTTGGGCCCACAGTATGAGGAGGGTGGCAAATACACACCATCCACATAGTATCGAGGTCAGCCGAGCAAAATATAATCACGATAAAACTTAATGTCGTAATTCGACCGAGTCAAATTATTAATCATACGCGAAATAAGTTGTTTCCCTAAAATTTGAGGCTTAGAACCTTGAAACCCACAATTCTGAGTGTTAACTTTAAATAGGGTTTACAGGGTGAGAAAAAAAACTGCAACAAAGTCAAACGCCATAATTTTTTCATTTTTTTGTTATTGCAAAATGGTCAGGCTTAATCCCTTAATTGTTGTTTTTATAAAAACAACGTTTGTTTATTAGTGGAGAACGATGGTAGTGTTTACCAGGGGATAAGGAAGGGCATACCTAGGTTTCGGAAAGAGCCACCAATCCTCATCAGTTTCCTTGTTTTTTGTCTGGGATATTCTCCCCAGAAGTTGTTTTAAAAATAACTTCTATGACAAAGAACATTTTTGTACCCAAGTGACGAGATCGTAAGCTCAATAGAAGAGAACCAAAAAATTAAAAAAAAAAAAAAAACTAAAATTCTTTTGGAAAATTGTCTAAATCTTACAACCGCACTTATGCTTTCGTTCTACCTGAACGAAGTAGCATAACCATGTAGGTTGGTTTTGTCTCTTACAACAAAAACCCCTTTGTCGACCGTGCCTTGTCTATTAATAGAACAGTGTTGGCTTTGTTTGTTCGGGATACCATAGTATTTTGTTGTTGCAAAATGGTCAGGCTTAATCCCTTTATTGTGGTTTTTATATATATATTTTTTAATTTTGTTGAATGGAAGCAAAAACTCTTGGAAATAGCATCAAATATTAGAATAAGTTTAGATTTTTTGGAATTGGTCACCTTTGGCACGAATTATGGCCTTCAAACGGCAAATGAAACCACCACACGCTGCCCGAAGCGCTTGCTTGAGGTGATCGACACTTTGATATTTTTTAGTTTCAACCTTGCTTTCCAAAATACTCCAGGCACAATAGTTCAACGGATTGGTATCCGGAGATTTTGGTGGCCATTGTACGCTGGAAATGAAGCGGGGAACCTCATTTTTGGGGCGCGTGTTGAGTGCGATGGTGCTGAGTCCTGTTGGAATGTCCAAGGTCTGCGACCAAAATGTTCGCGTGCCTAAGGCTTTAATACACCCTCCAGAATATTTTCGCAATAATATTCGGCATTTATTCTGATGCCACGGTCGATTAATACGAGCGGAGAGCGACCATCGACTGTTATGGCGGCCCACACCATCACCATGGCCGGCGTTTGAGTTCTGGTGGCCAACCGAAGATGTACATTTTCAGCTGACCTCTTTGGCAAGTAAACACTAAAACACACACTTTGTTTGTTTACAAACTGCTGGACAACGAATGTTTTCTCAGCGGAGAAAACCAAATTCGGCAGTTCACCACTTTCTGCCAAACTATGCAACTTTTTCAATATTTGCCGATTGGAATATTACGATATGTTCAGCTCACGAGCCATTTTTCGGCCACTGCGACGCGGGTTTCGATCAAGTCGCTTCTTTACTTTTCGAACCATTTCTTCTGCTGTTGCTGTTTTCTTCCACTTCCTTGACGTCAGGCTACACTACCAGTATCACGGTAACGAGCGATGGTACGAAACACAAAAGATTCATTCACATTAAAATGCTGGAGTGCTCTAACCATAGCCATTTGAGGTTTTCCAGCCAAATATAAAGAAATCACACTATCACGCTTGAATTCCATCACGATAACTTTATTTCTGGAAAATTCTCACCAAAATGCTTTTGTACGCTTGTAAACAATATAATGAGCTGTCACTGGAATGTTAAAATTATTCCAGTTGCTGTCGGATGAGTGACTTCTAAATGACAGCAGTCTGAAGTTGGTTGCAGTTTTTTCATCTCACCACGTATAATAGAAGTTACTCCCTATTCCTCCCAAATGGTGGAGGGTATTCAAAATTCGGCCCACCCACTCGGAGAGCTTTGGTCCCACGGCAATAATCCGCTATATCCACCCAAATCTCAACCGACATAAAAAATTG